AGCCAAAGTTCCTGTAACAATGAAATGAAGTGAGAATTGTCTAATAGAAATACAGGGAATGTCAATTTCCTTAATTGAAGTGACAAAGAAATCAGAAATGTGAGTACATATTTGACTCATTGAAATAGTACAGAGGGTCAGGGAGATGGCTCAGCAGAATAAGCGCTTGCCTGGCAAGCACAAGGGCCTGAGTTCAATCCCTGGTTCTAAAAAAAAGGCTGGGGAGATAGTCTAGCAGCATAAGTGCCTGCCTAGCAAGCACAAGGGCCTGAGTTCAATCCCTGGTTCTAAAAAAAAGGCTGGGGAGATAGTCTAGCAGCATAAGTGCCTGCCTAGCAAGCACAAGATCCTGAGTTCAATCCCCTGTTAAAAAAAAAAAAAAAAGAAAAGAAATAGTACAAAATGGCTACACAACCAAATGAAATAACCCAATGTTAGAACTAGGTCCAAAAATATAATGAGGATCTTGGCAGGGTGAAACATTAGGATGAATGCCCACACTCCCATTCAATGTTAAAAACTGTAACTGATGAAATGTTACAAGATGTTGTGGCATACACAAATACTTGATATACAAGTAAAATGTTTTTTATGCACCAATAGCCATACTCAAATATGTATTTATTATGACATCTCTCTCTTTGAAGTGAAAGCATTCATAGGTTTGCTGTATTTAGCAGGGCTTTCTCATGGTAATTGCAGGAATGTAAAAGACTTATGGAAACATGATGTGTGTGGGCTTCAGGTTTGTAGAATAATGATGCTGCTGAGATTTTTTTTTTTTCAAAATTTTCTGAGGTTTGATGACAAAGCTACTTGCCAAGAAAGTAAAATAACTAATAATCTGGCTGCTATCATTCATTGTTTAAGAGCTTTGTTTCAAAATGACAAGCAATTTGTACACCATCTGAATATGTGACTATTCATGAACAGCTTACAGCATTTCACAGACACTATAGCTTCAGGTAGCATATGCACCCAATATCCTTCAAAATGTGGCACAAAACTTATGCTCTAATAGACACAAAGATTTATTATGTTTTCAAGTTAGACATTTATCCTGGAACTCAGCCATCAGATACTTATTTGTATAGTAATAAATAGAACAATGTTGTAAACAAACTTGTTGCTTCTACCTCCCAAACTAATAAGAATGTGGCATTCAACAATTGGTTTATCAGTTTCCTATTGATGTTACATGTGCTTACAGAACACAAGTTGACCAGTATAGAAACTGTATGCAGGAACAAAGTAGAAATTCCAAATAAAATGCTGCAGCTTCCAAACAGAGAATTGTACAGTACAATCTTTGGATTTCAGAAAATTGTCATTTTTATATGGCAAAGAAAAACAAATTGGTAATCCTGATGTCAATATTATACCACAATGTAAATATTGATAGGAAACCTCGACAGTACAGAAGCCTGAGATGGTAACATTCTGCAATGAAAGCAAAGGCCAAGTAGATGATATTGATGAGTTGTGTAGCAGCTATGACGTCACTCAAGACACAAAGTGTTGGCCAATATTTTCGTGTTACTCGATTCTAAACATGTGTGGCATAAATAGTTTGATAGTTTACAAAGAAAATACGAAGTGCAAAATATCATGAAGAAATTTTCATAGAAGATTAGGACTAGAACTCATAAGAGATTGTTTGCAGCAGAGGAAAAACAAAATGTTTCTTCCCAGGGAATTACATAAAATAATTGCGGAGCACACTGGTTAACTGACAGGTGAGCAAGGAGGTGCAACATCGCAAAGACCTACTACAGCATCAGGAAAACGAAGAAGACCTTAACTGTGCTCTGAAAGAAAGGACATAAAAATATAACATACGTGCTGTCAGTGTAGAGAATACATATACATGGAACATGCAGTTGTCATGTGTGAAGACTGCCTTGGTTGTGACAGTTTTTCTGTGGGGGAGGGTATTGGGAATTGAACTCAGGATCTTGCTTTTGCCAGGCAGGCACTGTACTGCTAAGCTATATTCCTGGCCCTGGGTGTGACAGTTGAAGCAAATACTTCCGTGGTATACTTGCATTTGTATTTATATTATAGTTCATGGAAGTTTTTATTCCTGATGTTATGTTTTAGGTTTTGTAAGCAAGTAAACAGTTGATGTGAAAATGTTGATGTCTACCATAAGTACTCATTACGTATTTGATATTCTATTTACATGACACCTTATTTTCTTATTTTTCTGCTATGTGCACATTGTACAATATAGTAGGAAGCTGCTGACAAAGCAGAAAGAGAAGGGTGGTGACAAGACTTCCACACAGGAAAGGAAAGCTAGGCACACATGCTGTCAGTGTAAGCAAGACATGTGCATAGGACATGTAATTGTTATACGTGAAGACTGCCTTGGATGTGACATTTGAAGCAAAGATTATTTTTGTTGTAGCGTTCTACTGGTATTTTCATTGTAGTTCACACAGCAATTTACTTTTGATGCTATCTTTTAGGTTTTGTAAGCAAGTACACAGCTGCTGCAAAAATGTTGATGTTTATTCTAAACATGCAATACATATTAAGAACTTAATATTTTATTTTATTGATATTTTTATGTTCATATTAACTATACATTGTACAATATAATCATCATCATCATCATCATCATCATCATCATCATCATCATCATCATCTCCTGACAAAATAGCAACTTAAGCGTGTCTCATATAAAGACCAGGGAGCAAGACACATCTGCTGTCAGTGTAAGCTTTAATATATATGGAATGTGTTGTTGTCATGTGTGAAGACTGCCTTAGATGTGATAATTAAAGATTGAAGACTGAAGTAGAGTTCTATTGGTATTTTTATTTTAATTTATATGGGAACACATTTATGTGTTTCTGCTGTTTTTTTTTTTTTTTAGGCTTTGTACATCAAAAAACAGTTGTTGAAAATTTTGATTTTTATAAACAATAAATAAGAAAAATTCAATACTTTCTTTTTGTAATTTTTTTCCTGTTAAGTAAAATTAAAATTAATAACTCATCAATAGAAATACTCTTAACAAATACAACTTACAATAATTTGCCTTTATGATATAATGGGTATTATGTCCGGTGGGCTATACATTACAGTTTAATAATTAAGAGGAAGTGGGATACAGAGCCCTTATTAAAGGTTGATTCTGGGAGTCTACATTCAAGGATTCTAGTTTTGGATGGAACCAAGGAAAAGCAACTTTGAGAAACTGCGTGAATCATTTAAATGCAAAATTCCTTAATTTGGCCCCTAAACTATGAACCTTACATCCACAGGCCATAGATTCCACTGCTGGAGGCCTTAATCTGCTGGAGGGGAGGGTTGGAGGAGGGCTTGTACAGAGAATTAAAGTTTAATTTACAGAAGTAGGACTTGAGAGATGGCTCAGTGACTTAGGGGCCTGCACTCTGCTCGCTTTCAACTCTTTTTTTCCTCATCTCAAGATGATTTTTCAAGCAGTACCTCCAAAGATTCCCTGCAGTTCTTGATGTCTTTAATGAACTTTCTTTGCTCCATCTAACTTTCAGCAGCAGACAGATGAAGAGGTGCTGAGAGGGAACTCTCACAGAGTGACCGGCCTGGACTTGTGAAAAAACTGTTATGAATTATAATCTCTTGTAACCTTGATTTTCTTATCTATAATTGAAGATGACATTTGTCTTGTAAAACGACTGTAGGGCTTACCATACTGCCTAGCACATGGTAAATGATATTGTTATTTTTAAACTTATTTTTGAGTGAGATGTCAGGCATTACATGAGCCAGTTCTCAGACTAGGAAAAACTTTCCAGTAGAATATATATGTATATATATATATATATATATATATGAATGCAATGAAAGCTAAAGACCAGCACTGTCCAATAAAAATATAATGTAAGCCATTTATGTACTGTTAAATTTTCTAGTATCCGCATTTCTAAAAGGTCAACTGAATTTAATACTGTATTTTACTTAACCAAATGTAAAAACAGTATTGCAGCATGTCATCAACATAAAAAATATTGAGGTTCTTTTTTAAACTGGCTTTGAAGTTTGTGCACTTTATACTTTCCACATATCTCAACTTGGGTTCTAAAATTTCCTAAGTGAAATGTCCTACCCAAAGGTGTGTTTAATGCAAGTATGTTGTCCTATCTGCTTTTAAAGTTAATGAAAATTATATAAAACAAAAAATTGTCTCACTCCCAGGAGTCATATTTCACATTTTTGCTAGCCACAAGTGGCTAGGGCTGTCTTAGACAGAGGAGATTTGAGGCTTTGAATTTCGCTTGGACTTCGAGGACCTCATGAAGTTCACCTTTTCTTATATCCGTGTATTTGCTAGGAATTTTCGGTTTCACCTTTTAAAAAGCCAATTTACAACGTGGTCGTCTACAAGCTCCTTTTTTTGTGTGCACCGAACATTCACGTTGGCTTGTGAATCCGGCTACAACAGGCAACTTTATAGAGCTGGGAAGTGGCTATTTGGACTTCAGAGAAACCAGCCCAGGAGAGAGTGGCTGAATCCCTTTGGTTCCTGCTTTCTGTCACCGTCTTCCGGCGAGGACAGATTTATTTAACCTCTATTAGCTTAGCGATTTTCACCTTCCTGACAACCAAACTTCAGGGTTTGCACTTCCCAGAGTATAAAGTCTCTCCAAAAGCAAGGCAGAGGCCAGTGAGCCCTCAGAGAGGGATTTACCCGGAGCCCCTTTCTATTTTTAGCCAGGCCACAGCGTGCCATCAAGTTTCCGGAGAAAGAAACGCACAGCTACAAAACAGATACTCAGAAGGCCAAGCCCCTGCCAGGTGCCGCTCGAAGTCCCCCGGCCACTCCCACCGAAACTCGTGAGCGCGCGTTTTCCGGGGTGGCGCGAGCCCGTCCCCCAGCGCCAGAGCGCCGGCTCCCTGCGGGACGCCGGGCGGTGGGCGTGGCCAAACCAGAGGGGGCGGGGCCGTCTGGGCGGGGCGGGGCGGGGAGGCGGAAGTTCCCCGGGCTCGGGACCGCGCGCGCCCGGCGAGTCACTTGTCAGCGCTAGTCTGAGGCGGAGGCAACGCGGCGCGCGTTCCGAGGTGAGCGGCCGCCTGGGTGGGGAGCCTCGGCTTCCCGGCAGGGCCGGGAGGAGGGGAGCACAGGGTCGGACCGCTCTGGAGGAGGCGGAGGAGGGGGCACGGCGGCGCCTCAGGTGCGGTGGGGCAACGCGGAGCCGGCCGGCGTGCGGGGCCCTCGCCGCGGACTGTGCGGGACCTGCGGGCCGCCGCGAGGGCGAGTTAGTTCGTGTGCTCGCCCGCCTGCGCGCCCCAGGGCTCAGAGAACGCTGGAACCTGTTTCAGGAAAACTCGAGCGCCCAGAGTAAAGCTCTCTTCACAACAAGTCTGTCACGAGCCCAGATTTGGGGCTTGGCGGGTGTAGGGCGTGGGTGAGACAGCGCCTTTGGGGCGCCTGACTGTGGGAGAGGGGAAGGAAGGGAGTGCAGACTGCGGAGCTCGGGAGCAGATGCGTGGCCGGCTGGGCGGGGCGGGTCCAGGGTGTGTGTGACCCCAGATCCGTCGGGGCAGGTCCGGGGTGTGCCTGACTCCAGATCTCTCCCGAGCCTGCTTCCCCAACACGCCCCGCAGTTTTATTTAGTTCTGTTTGAAAACTCACCCTGGTTTCCTGTGGCTTTAGCTGTTCAGCTCTACCTCCGTTCTTTGCATAGGGAAAAAGCAATTCTCTGCCTTGTCACCGTGAGTCGCGAGTTCTCTGGATAGTCCCACCACCTATCCAGAGAAGTTGGGACCTAAGTGCGGGAAACACCAGACTTCTCTCTCTGGTCCTAGAGTAGACGGTGAGACTTGACCTAAAAGAAGATCCACAACCATAGAGAAATTCCAACTTATTCCGTGTGTTTGAAAGCAGAATAGACTATTTCCTGCGTGCTTGGTATTTTATGACAGGTTTGGGCACTAATAATCGGAGGAGACCCAGGATAGGCCAATGAAAATATTGCCATTGCTTAGGGATCAGAATATTTTAATATGAAAGAATTCCAAGTAAAGCTAGGAGAATCTAGAAAAAACGATGGTTTTGTAGTGTGGCTATGACCTTTCCAGTAGTAACAATCTTGATAAAAAATGGCCATATCAAAAAGGAGGTCCCCAAGTAAACTTACTATATTTTTTCATGTAGGGAAAAGTGAGATCAGAGGAATTAGGGCCTTTCACATTCTTTTCTTGTCACAAGTTGAAGATTAAAAAATGAGGACAATAGCCTGGAAAATATCACTTGGCTTTTACACACTCCTGATTTGTATTGTATGTCAATACTAAAATTTTCTCTACAAGTTTCATGAAAGTCTCTTTTTACAGTGGGAAGGCAATTAACTGAATATGTAGCTTTATGTTAACTCCCAGAGTCTTCGTTTTTACTGTATAACAATTTGACTTTTAATATAGCCTTTGACTCTTTTATAGTGGCTTGCTTGCTGCTTCAGTAGTGAGGGACTGTGTCATTGCCTAGGAGTTAAGTGTACCACTGTGTCATTGGAAAAAACCTATTGACTTTCTAGATAGATACAGTTCACATTATTTCCTAATTATTTTTCTTGAACTAAGAATTTTTCTTGACTAAGATCCCTAACCCTAAGTATTATTTCATTTTCCCATTTTGAGATGAAGGAATCTGTTTGCTTTATGTATACCCAGTGGTTCAAATTTGCTATTATGAATTTGGTGTGATGAGATAGAAATTTTGAGTAGGTTTTAAAAATGAAAAAAAAAATATTTGAAGAAGAGTAATAGTATAAGGTAGTTATTTGTCTTAAGAGCTCAGACTTTTCTAAGGAAACAGCTTTGTTTTAAAGTTATAATTTTATATACCTGTTGTAGCGTTAATATTTTTTAAAAAGCAATGTTATGTTTTTTACTATTTCATTAAATAAAAAACTTCGTTTTTCCCATTGTCTCCTGTCGTTGTAATTACCCATAGGAAATTCCAAGTCAGACTTTTAAAAAAAATTTAAAAGTGTTATGATAGAGTCATCGTGAGCACATGTACAGCAAAACAGAAAAAAGAAAATACTGAAACACTGGTTCTTTTCTAAAGCTCCCATTCAAGTTCATGAGTTAAGCTTAGCCTTGTACCTGTGCCATTTTTAGTCATTGTCTTTTTCATGGGGTAGTAAATGCTTACTCTCTGCTTGGCCTAAAGAGGTGCATATGTACAACAAAAAGCAGATTCTTACTAAAACATCTGCTGTGCTGTGCTAAATAAAGGCTTGCCTATCATTGTCTATCTGAAGGAAGAGCAAATATGTAGGTGTAGAAAATACATTGTCTGGGTAAAAGGGAATATGAAGTGTAGTTCATGACTGGAGATGGGTTTTGTCCAGTAAGCACCAGTTTTTAATTTTAAAAAATTAAGCATTTAGAAAACCCGAATGGGAATCTACGGACTTTTAGTTCCTCTTATGTATTATAAATTAAGTGAACTTGAAGGACTCTTGCCAGCACAAGGAGTGTGAGATGGAGAACAAGGGAAAATCATTTTGAATTAAATCTGAAGTAAGATCTTGCTTTTGAAGGTGTAGCTTGGTGATGGAGCACTTGCCTGACATGTACAAGGCCCTGGATTCTACTCCTAGAACACTTATCATGCCTCCCTCCCCCAGAACTTGTTCTTACATACTTAACAGCATTGTAAGGTACAGTTAACTGAACTTTGTATTCAAGAAACTACAAAATTGAATTGTAACAACTTGTAAAAGTGATCAAAGATTCTGATAAGTATTTTTTAGGCTCAAATTGCACGAGTGTAAAAGTTTTATATTATGTAGATAATAGATTTCTCTTCTTGGACTAAAATTCATGAAGAACTTATGTCCCTTCACCCTCCCCAATACTGAAATTTAGTTAGCTTTGTCCTAAATGCCTTTAGATAGAGCATAGGGTTTCAAGGAAACATTTTTGTTATGGATCTCATTTTCTTTCAGTTTCCTTCATTGCCTGGCATTCTAATTTGAGCTATTGGAACCATGAGCAACTACAGTGTATCCTTGGTTGGCCCAGCTCCGTGGGGCTTCCGACTGCAAGGTGGCAAGGATTTCAACATGCCTCTGACAATCTCTAGTGTAAGCAAACTTTACAGACTTTATTACAAATGTTCATTCAGTGCTCAGTTCTAGAAACCTTGGGCTGTGTTGCTGAATTCTGTTGACTCACGCTATGTTTGTTACAGTTGTTTGTGGGATGTTTTCTTGGGAAATTTAGATAGAGCTCTAATAAAGGATGGGGGAAAGGAATTAGCAAAAACAATTTATTTCAATCTAGCTTATTTTCAGCTTTCCTTATATCAGCAAAAAAATAAATGGAAAAGAATTTAGGGAGCAGAGCCTAAAATTTTGAACTGCTCAAAATTCCCCAATTTAGAAGAGAATTTCTACTCTTCTTTTAATCAAGTCATAGTATCTTATATGCAATTCTATTCCCCAATGCTTTAGCTTTGGTTTCTTTATATGTAATTTTATAAAATTGTACTATGTATTTATTTTGTATTACTATGTATTTGCAGTAAATAATGATTACATTTATTGTGGGGAGCTTGTATTTGTATGTAACACATCTTAACTTTTTTCTCTTTCTCTCCTGAACTCCTGCTAGCTCTTCTTCCCCTCTGCATCTGCAAAAGGTGTATTTCTGTTGTTTTAACTCTTTAAAAACAATCCTTGTCTCCCTTTCCTAACTCCTTTCCACCTCTTGTTCCCTTTCCATTTGAAAAAGATCTTCCTATTTTGTAATATCTGGTTTTCTTTGCCTCCTTATTTTTACTTTGGGTTTCTTATGTTCTTTTTGCTTCAAATCTGTTTTATTAAAAATCGTTGATGAAAAACTGAATACAATGACCGTTTTAGGTATTTCCTTAGCTGGCTTTCTGGGGGATGTGATAGGCAACAGTAAAATGGTCAAATGCTATTTAACTTTAAAAAGAGAATGAAGGTCTTAATGTCCACCTATATATCTATGAGTAATGGCGATTCGGCCTTTTACCTGCTTATATAATTACTTGAATGTATTCTGTGATATAGTTTAAGAATGTGTTCATGGTGATGTTACTGATGAGGGGAATAATAATTGCTTCTACTTACTGACCCTAAAGTCTGCATGATACAGTTCCACCTACATCAATAGGTAATTATTTCTATTAATTACTGTGCAACTTTTTAGAAATTCTTTGTATTCAGATAAATATGACTTTCTTGTTTTGAATTTTTAATATACATAAAAACATCAGACCAAAATGTAATGGGGTATCACAAAACAATTATGTCCCCAGATATTTATCATTTCTTGATGGTGACAACTCAAAATGTTTTCTTCTGATAAGTATGAATTTCTACTCTTCTTTTAATCAAGTCATAGTATCTTATATGCAATTCTATATTTTTTTTCTCAACAACTTACCATGGAAGGGCTTTCCCTATTAATAAATAAGGATGCTTCTTTTTATAGAAACATCATTTATTTAATTAACCTACCATAGAATGGCTTTTGTGTTTCAAATTGTTATTATCAACAGTGCTGTAGTAGATATGATATAATTCATACATACATATATAAATATATAGATCATTTTAATAAGTTGTATCAGTTTACACATTTGAATTACCCATGAACATACCTATTCCATACTCCTTTTTTCCAGTGCAAGTCTTACCAAGATTCCTTGGAATTTTTTTGCCAAATGTTATAAATGTATCACTGTACTTAATGTTTACAGCAATCTGAAATAGGGTTTTTTTTTCCATTGTAGAGAAGTACTGTGAGTGGATGGCTTGTCTGGAAATGCTGACTTTCAAGCTGTTATGCTAGGCTGCCTCTAATAAGTCACTTTATCTTATATTCAGTTAGATTGTTTCTTAGATATTTAGATGGTTTTTAATTTTGTTTAACTACAGGTATATGTACATGTATAGATGTACAAATATGGATATACATATACTCTGCATCTTACATGCTTGCTTTTAACTGTATATGTATCTTTAACTTGATTTTGAAGGATTAAAACTGTATTACCTAGTATATTGCAATTAAAATACTGCAAATACTCTTTTTAACTAGGGTAAGTTTCATTATTTTGTAGATTTTCAAAGTTATTTTAAATTTATCACCCATTTCTATTGTGATTCTGGGTCATTAGATTTTGTAAGGAAATATTACGTAAGTCGACAGTGAAAATATGTGTTGTGATTTATTCCTGTTTGGGGCAGGAAGTGTTTTCTTCTATCTACTACAGACCAGTTACAAGGACAGAATAATGTCTACTTGTGTTTTAACATTATTTTATAGTGTTTTGAGTTAAGAAGGGTACTGTGTAGTATAAAATACTACAATTTTTGGCTAAAAAAAGGTCCAAAATCAAATTTATACTTATCTGAAGCAAGTGTAATGATTACTTTGTTTTTCAGTAATAGAACTATAAGTGGTTAGTGTAAGTTGTCTGATACCATGAGTTGAAATAGTTTCACATGCTTTGGTTCCCTGGCAGAAAATCTGAAGTGCTAGCTCCATGTTGTGATGCTGATACAACGGAACACTGTGTACATACGTAGTGCCTTCCTCTGGCACGGCAAAATGCTTTCCTTATGTAGACAGAGTGCTAATTAAAGGATTTTGAACCTACTGATTAAAAGAGACTAAGGTAACAAAGCTGCCGAGTTATTTCTGTTCTCTTACAAAAGTCTCTGCCATGTACTGTGACCTTTTTGGGCCTTGTGCAGTGGGGCATGCAATTCATTCTGAACTGGAAAGGATTGGAAGAAGAGGGGGAGGAAAGAAGGGAATGTTGGCTCAACTGGGCTGCTAGGCTGTTGGCCTTTCAGTATGGTTATTTTTAACCCCTAATGTGGTTTAAACATGCCTAGTAACATTGCTTAATGACAGTGTATGCCTATAACTAATTTATATTGTGGTAAAATTATTAATGTTATACATGTTATACGTTAGCATTTTAACTCATGCTAATTAGTCCTCTGATTCTATTTAACCTTTATTATGTAAAATTACTAGGCTATTTTTCAGTGATCACTGGTTTCTTTAATTAATAGTATCAAGAAGCAGTTGAAACCTAAAAGCATGCCTTAAAACATGTAATTTAATGATTTTCTTATTTTAAAGATGCATATGAAGTTCTTAGGATTCTCTCAATCGCTACCTTTTAAACTAATAGTAAGTTAAAAAGATTATTTATACATTGGAAACATTAAGTTCCCCACAGTTGTAAGAAACATGACTTTTTTTAACTTCTAGTTTCTGAAATTATAAAAAAAAAGTCAGATGTCTATGCTGAATTGGAAATCTGCATTTTTGTTTTTAGAGTTCAAATTATGTTATTTTTCCTTTGGTCAGATATTTTGTGGGCCCTAAAGGGCTATTTACATTCTTTTATAACATTGGAACTCTGGGGCATCAAGTTGTGTTTTGAGATAAATAAGTCACTGGCAAGAACTTGAACATTCTGTTTTCTTGAGGTTTTGTTATGCCAGCCTATGAAAATACTAAATAGGATTTGTTTTGTAAAGAAAGTAAGCTATAAAATTTTAATGTGTCACACAGTTTTTTTTTTTTTTTTTTTTTTTTAAACTTAGTTGTAGGAATTTTATGTGGTATTCTATGTGTGGATTTCTAAGATGGGTCATAGGCAGTTTCTCCTGTTTTTGGAGACACTCAGATCTGCATGATCTGAAGTGCATGAGCACATCTTTGTCTTTAATTTTCTTTCCTTAAAATGTAGTGCTGGCTAGGGGAGTTTGCAGGCTTTTTATGACCCTGTGTTTATGGGAATTGCCCTACAGCCATGAAATGCTAGGATGGGTTTCATTGTTGTAATGTGGGTTTTGTTGTTGGTCTTTCCAGTATATTTTATAAGAAGAAATAGGAGACTTGTTTCTCAATTGAGTCTATGTTTTGGCAAGTTGGTGTTTCTCATGATGGAAGATTATATATTTATGAGTTACATCTTTTAAGTTCAACATCCTAAAGCTGAAATAGTTGACTGTGTTATATATAGCTTTTTTTCTTCACTGTCGGTATTTTGACTTAGAAAAGAAGTTGTCTGAATTCTCCATAAACAAACATTTTGGAGATTTGTTTAGTTCAATAGAATGAGGTTTACTTTGATTCTCAAGGTAAGGGAGAATAATTGTTATAGGTACTGAAGCTTTTTTAAAAATTGAATTTGAAAAGGAGAAGAAAATTTTCATTTCTTGGAGTATGGAGCCTTATTTGGGAACATAACAGAATAGAGTAAGACAAAATTGTGAAACACTTTACTGTGAACTTATTTGTTCAATTAGTTATGGGAATACTGCACTAAAGGTTAGTAGTAAAGAAATAAGCACAATGCTATATTCCTAATTGGTATCTTTAAGACTTGTCACAAGAAAACATCTAATGAAATAACAAAGATGTTGTTTCTCAGTTTTTGTGGCTATTAATCTTTTGTGTAGGGATTGGCTTCCTTCAGAAGAAACTGATTGAAATGGCCCTTGAAAGAGGGAGTTTGAACACCTGTACATCAACATTTTTCTGCTTTCAGTGCAGAGTAAGGGTGAAGACTTTGCCTGCCATTTCTTGAGTCTTGTGAATATATTTGAATGATTCTGCAGACTTGCCAGCTGCAGTTTCCCTCCTGGAGGAAGACAGAAAGACTTTCAGTCCTTTCAAGCAGAAATGGGAGAGCTATCCTACCTTGAATAAATGGGCCTATTGTTAATTTTAAGCTATGGGTATTTTCTTTTACATTCCCTCCCAAATACCCTGTCACTATGCCAACTTGGAAAGTTAATTTAGTTTATGTATCTACATAATGTATATTTCATATGTATGTTCACTTTCTACTTATAAAACATTAATTGCCTTTTGTATGTGACTCAGAGACTGTCTTTTCTCGTGTGGTAATTTTTTATCACTAGTGGTCACTAGTGTAAAGAATCTCAAGATAATTCTGAAGGTACTTTTAATAATAAGTGAAAAATCTTAGTATGTTTTATTGAAAATTAGTGAAAAAAAGACTTAAATTTTAACAAATGTTTGTCATTTAGAGAAGTTATTTTCTAGAAAAATTTCACTGGTA